TTTCTGACGGCACATTCTCTATTCTGTGCCCACTGAAGGAATTTGTGAAATCTTCGATTTTCTTTTAGAAATTTATGAATTCGTGTCTGGATATAGAAAGGCATTCAATTTCTTTGTGCACACTTTATATAAACTGTTGTCAAGTATTGGCAGGGGAGCGGGAAACAATTATTGATGGTTGATGAACAAAGATAGACGTACTCTCTCACATTAATTAGTAAGAGCTGCTATTGCACGATTCACCTCTAATTGTACCTTCAATAAATTCAAGTGATGCACAGAACTACGCATTCATACTAATGTGTTTCGAATCGATGTTTGTATGTGTATCCGTACAAATCAATGCAACAAATATAGCATGCTGTGACCTGTTTAATTATTCACATTCGGTCCTTTACACACTCGCAATCTAATTTCACATTCGGCCATTTTTGCGATGTAATAGCATTTAATGCACAAGTCTTTGTTATCAGTGCCTCGTTATAAATTATTTGATTCACCTGTTACGCCGAATAATTGTATTTCAATACTCAGAATGCGAATCGCATACATTACCTGTTGCTAAGTATGATAATTAAGCCATAATATTTGTCCTACCTAGCAGCACATGTGTGCGATTCGCCTTCTGACTTTATAGAAATACAAGGTCTTTAAAGGTGAATTAAATAGTTTGTAACGAAGCACTAAATAAATTAAATTACATTATGAATTTGGCCTATTCATTAAGCTAGGACACTGTAACGCAATACGCAGTCATGACGAAAAGACCACTGGGGTAATTATTATTATGATTCATGGTGAATAACAGAGATTAAGAGGATCTTTCCTAAAACCCGCCAGTGGATTAAAGAAAAACACATCCAAAATTAACAAAATTTAAGATGATCACCCTCTCTACCAAAAAATGAGATGACAGTTGTCTGATTGTTTGAAATTTGAATAAAATCGTGTGCTGCAGCTAGACCCCGCCCCTGACCCTCTTGAGTCGTACGTCTATGACCAAGAAGATAGTTTACATACGAAATAATTATGTCGGGTGGATGTACATGGCACATCGTTTCCTTTACCAACGCGAGAGGATACTATATCGGTGCAGTCCCCTCGGCCTGTTCCATCGGGTTCCAGTGTAGTCACTGTTCGCCCCGTCTATCCACTCATAATTGCCATCTGATGTGGCGTCATGAAACCATATCCACATGTACGCTGCATCACTCAGAGCAAGAGAGAGACGGATTGAGGGAGGGAAGGGAGAGATGGAGGGAGAGAGAGAGAGAGAGAAAGGTTGAGAGAGGGGAAGAGAGGGAGAGAGGGGGATGGAGAGAGGAAGAGGGGTAGACAGACCGAGAAACGGGAAGGGAGAGAATGAGAGAGAAAGAGAGAGAGATTGAGAGAGGGGGTGGGACAGATGGAGAAAGAGATGGAGGGAGAGATGGAGGGAGAGAGTGGGGAGATGAAGCGGAGTAGATAGGAAGAGAAAGGGGAAGAGAGAGAATATGAGAGAGAATGAGATAGAAATAGATGGTGAAGAGAGAGAGATTTACAAAGACAGAGAGAAAGGCAGAGAGAGAGAAAGAGACAGACAGACATAGACAGACATAGAGAGAGAGAGAGAGAGGGGGGATGAATAGAGCGTTAAGTTTATGAATTCCTCATTACTCAACTGCCCGATAGAAGTACATAATTATATTAAATTACATTATATTGTGCGTAATATTATCAACACGAATAGGCCAACAAAAAGCCAACGTTGGCATTGGCTGGAATAAAACGTATAAGGCACTATTTCGTTTTTTCAAAGGCTGGTTCAAAATTATCGAATATTTGTGGGGCTCCACAAATATTAGAAATGGTTATATTTATGAATATTTCAGCCGTCTCTGAACTGAATTTGATCAAACAACAATTATTTTGTCATTTAAAGTGTATGCTTTCTGAGTTTTTTTCAAATTTGACAATCAGTTTTTCATTATCTCATAATTTTTTTGTGTGTAGCACCCTCTATACCAAAACTCAATTATCCCTTTAAAGAAATGGCCTAGGCTAAGATTGATTAAAGGCTAAGTCCACTCCAAAAATAACATGCTTTCAATAGATGCAGAAAAACAGGAGAAACAGAGCAAGAAAAGTGTGGGGAAAATCGGATCACAAATAAGGAAGTTATGCATTTTTTTTAAAGTATGAAAAACTATGGAGCAATGAAAATCACTTCACAAATTGCCAAATTGGTTATTAGTTTGTGACGTCATTGCTTCACTATTTATCAATTGATTCATACATTTTTATCCCATTATTTCCCTTTTTATCCCAGAGATTTCCCCATGCCTTTGCCCAGATTTTATGTTTTGTTTTAGATTTTATTTCACAAAATCTTTTATGAACTTTGAAAAATTGATACTTTTTTCGGAATACTGTATATTCATAATTATTATTTTTCATATAAATAGTTTATTATTAGGGTGAAAATTGAAAAATTATATTATCAATATAAAGAAAACAATTAGTAGATAGTGAGGCAATGACGTCACAGACTGATGAGTGAGTTGCCAAAATGTCTTGTGATTTTCAAAGTTTTTCATGTCATTAAAAATTCATAACTTTCTTATTGGTTATCCGATTTTGCTCAACTTTTTTTTATTGGTTCGTCTGATTTTTTGCTTGTATTAAAAGTAAGTTATTGTAAGAGTAGACTTGCCCTTTTAGATGGCTAAGGTCAAAAGTTAAAACTAACGAATACGTAAAGATGTTTGTTATGTTGATGTTGGATTCTATCGAACGTTTAAATCAATTAATGGAGGAGAAAAATCTCAAATAGAAAATAGTACCCGTTTCTTGTACGTAGTTTGGAAAAGTGTGTCAACGAAGTCGTTTTCTTGTCGAGAATGAATATAAACAAGATGACCTAAACTGTCTATGACTAAGTCTCCGTCGCCAAGAGAGGGCACTGAATGACTACGTCAAAACATTTCAGCTTGTGTCCACGTCTTGTTGTAGGTAAAAATCTGTTCAAATAAAACAGCCAAAAATGTAACGAAGAACGGATTTAGGAATATGAAAATCGGGGCACATGTCCGATGAAACATCAGTCTCTCTGACTAGCAAAAAAAATATATAAAAGGTTATCATATATTAAGGTGATTTTACCTCTTCCATTTAAGGGGGTGTAATTAAGAGACACAATATTAAGGGCGACTAAAGTATGTTAACAATGACATAGGTCCAGGGGCGGATCTAGCTTTTTGCTAGGGGGGTTGACCAAAATAATGACGAGGCGGAGCATCGTCCACGAGTCGTGAAGCGGCGAGGCGATTTTGGGGGGTGTTTATTTCAACCCCGTATGTGATGTTTTCCAGGCATCCACTAACACAATGGAGACCATAGAAAGCAGTGCATGAAAACGTCTTTTTAAATCAGGTATCAGTTTAATACACAGTTATATCCAGAGTGATCATGTGTTTGGTTAAGTAAGGAGATGAGTTGAATATTTTCTCACAGTATTTGCATTTGAAAGGGTTTCTCTCCAGTGTGCGTTTTTTCTTCTCCCCCCCCCCTTTTTTTTGGGGGGGGGGGGGTTAACCCCCTTAACCCCCGTAGATCTGCGCCTGAGGTCTACCATGCTTTACTGTTTTACAGTGAAACTAACTGCAGTCCACTTTTTTATTGCGATTTTTTTTCCTTCACACCATGGCATTTTCAAAAGCAGGTACACAAAATTACTTTATTACATTATGATAATAATTTTGTTTGTTTTCACAGGAAAGCCTGATCATATCAGCGTCAATGCTTTATTTCGTGAGGGCCATACAAAGCAAAAAAAAGGGGCATATCTACTGTTACAATGCTTTGTGTAGGCCTACCTGTAGCAATTATTGCCAAATTCTCTGTGTGGTCATGCCTTGAACCATAATGCATGACCGGGCAGAGGAATTTTTCCTTTTGGGGATCGGGGGAAAATGCAATGAATTATTGATAATTTATTGAATTTTCTTATTTTTTTTTATATTTGTGGGGGCTACCCCCTACCCTAGCCCCCGCTGCGTACATTCGTGATTCAGTGGCAAAGTAATGGCCTCGTAACTGTGAGGCCCTCGGATCATAACCGTGTCGCTGTGCTATTATTATTGTCCTTTTGTGAGGCATTAATCCTCATTACTGTCAGTTATGACTTAACCCTAATAAGGCCGCCCCCCCCCCCTCCACGATTTCTTTGATTGATCGGGAACGCATATGGATGGCTCCCCGCCACTCGCTGACCTTTTTCTTTCGAATCTTGCGCATCTTTAAAAAAAACTTGAAAATCGGACATACAGTTTCAAGGTCACGTAACCTTTTGTCTTTGCATGTCAGCCCGAAAATCGCTCATTTTTAAAACAACAGAAACAATAAAATACATAAGTTAAAAAAACAATGAAATACATAAGAAATTATCACAACAAGCGATAACATAAGGAATAACCTGGTTCTTCTAATTTTTTTTTTTGTTGTCGTATTTTTATTCAAAATGGTCTAATGAATATATGTAGTGAAAAAGAATGCTTAAATATGAATAATATATGATTTATGGTTATAATTGTGATTTTATGACCTTATTTGCATAAATTACCATACATATGCAAATAAGTGAATATTTCAAAAAAATGAAATTATCATATTATTCTACACACTTCACTTGACATGCGTGCACATTTTTCGCGGAAATCGCCCTATTCACGGCCGAGATCTTAAGGGGACCATAATGCCCCCCCCCCCTCCGTACTAAGACCTCAAATTGCCCGGCCTTTTTAGGGTTAAGGGCGTAGGACCCCTAGTTGATTAGCATAGCAGCATACAGATGCTTGAGCAGTCACGGAATACAAACACCTGCAAATTATTATTCAATAAAATCTAAGAATGTAAACTATTATCTAGATCTATTAGGAATAAATCTTTGTCAAAATTATTCCATAAATCGGGGTAAAAAAAAAAATCCTACTTTATGAGCAACAGTGGTTCTTGGGGTTGTGGTGGCTCTGAAAAGAGCCGTTTGTGTATGCGGTGCATGGGCTACATGCTGTACCGATGGTTCTAGGCGCGTTCTCCGCGGATTCGACGGGCGAGCTGGATGTCTTTGGGCATGATGGTAACCCTCTTGGCGTGAATGGCACACAGGTTGGTGTCCTCAAAGAGGCCAACTAGGTATGCCTCGCTGGCTTCTTGAAGGGCCATCACAGCGGAACTCTGGAAACGTAGCTCTGTCTTGAAGTCCTGTGCAATCTCACGCACTAGACGCTGGAATGGCAGTTTTCGGATGAGAAGCTCAGTGCTCTTCTCTAAAGCTATGGTCACAAATCAGAGCAGCGACCGACCGATCAGTAGCCTGCTCGGTCGCTGCTGTAATTAGGCATCGCCCAGCGATTAGGTCGGTGCCCGGGCGGCGACCGCCCAGGCACCGAGCGTATTTTGCGCGGCGAGTGAAAAGTGAGCAGGCGCCGCCCAAATTTTAACTCCGCGCTAAAACTTCAGCGGCGACCGAGCGATGCCCTAAAAACGAGCGGTGCCTGGGCGGCCTCCGCTCGGTGGCCGGTCTAGCCGCCGGGCAGAATTGGTTAAAAACTCGCCGCTCGGCCGCCGAGCAGGCTACTTTTGGGTAATGTGACTATAGCATTATGCTATGCTCGTTTTTAGGGCATCGCTCGGTCGCCGCTGAAGTTTTAGCGCGGAGTTAAAATTTGGGCGGCGCCTGCTCACTTTTCACTCGCCGCCCAAAATACGCTCGGTGCCTGGGCGGTCGCCGCCCGGGCACCGACCTAATTGCTGGGCGATGCCTAATTTCCAGCAGCGACCGAGCAGGCTACTGATCGGTCGGTCGCTGCTCAGATTTGTGACCATAGCTTTAGCGGCGAATCTCTCTCAGGGCGACTGTGCCAGGTCTGTATCGATGAGGCTTCTTGACTCCTCCTGTGGCGGGGGCACTCTTTCTGGCAACTTTGGTTGCCAGCTGCTTGCGGGGAGCCTTCCCTCCTGTAGATTTGCGAGCGGTCTGCGCTTGGTGCGTGCCATAGTTGCTTGAGAGACAGTAGGTAATTCAGTACTTCAAAGACGAGTGACGGGATGAAAGAGAACCACTGGCAATTTTCAGCTATTTATATGTGCTGTGAGGATCCTGGTGCCGTCGCCCTACGTTTGTAAAGCTCTCTTGATTGGTCAACCGGGTTGCTCTTTTGTTTAGCGCGTGACGGGAAGGGGGCTTGGCGATGCCGTATGTGCAAAGTCAATAAAATGTGTCGAAAGGTGGCGCTACCACCGTTTGCAACATGGGTTACATGGCAAGCCGGCTCACGTACTCAGTGGTGCCAAATAATTACGAAAATATGCATTCTAACAAATGATGATTAAGGTGTTTGACCGAGAGTCTGCTCGGCTGATCTTGAGAGGGCGGATGAGAGGGAGGCAGGCAGGCAGGGAGCTGGGTGGGGATGAATCATGAGAAAAGACACTATCTTAACCTGCATCTCGTCAACCTTTCAAGGAAGGATGCATGAACGTATATCATTTAGGACATGTTGCCATCTTGAATTGTATTTTTTTTTTTATTTAATCGACTATTTTCGTCTTCCTTCCGACCATCATGAATACACTTTATATAGATTTGTGACAGTCTGGAATTTCATTATGATATTATTCATAATGATCTTAATAAGTTTGTTATAATATTGTTTACTTTTAATTATTAATCAACACTGTGCAGTTTTTGAGCAGTGATCCTCAGAAAACCCATTAGTCACTTTCTGGGTCCCGCATAATAGAGCTCTTGTACACGTTGTAAATCTTATCTCTAAAGAATGTTGTGGTTACCTCCAGAGGGTGGGAGAGTGAAGGCTACCGCCCATCTGGATGAGGAAGGGTAAAATCCACTCATTCCATCTCATACCACCTTTGAGACAACACCCATGCTATAGAGAAGAGAACTTGTACGATATTTGACTTTCCATGACAAATTCCATCCAATAGGGGGGGGGGGGGGGGTTTATCCTTTCTCGGGTTTATTTTCGAGAATAAAGTATGACATCAAAACAACCTGGACCACAATATTGAGTCTTCATTTATCTCATTATCTGTGTTACAAATGGCGTAATCGGCAGGATGTCAACATAAGTTACAACCCCCTACGGATGACGAGGATTGCTGATCCACTACAGGAGAGAGATCAACCAATATCTTGGAGTAGAGCCGGACACTGGTAGACCCTGGTAGACCCCGATGATCAGAGCTGGATGTATCCCCCTGGATAAGAACTGTTAATCGCGAGAGTAACCTGAAGGGCAACCCTAGCTTCTACGGACTGATCGGATGCAAGTGGAGCTCAGCAAGTGCATGGAAATCCCAAGAATGAACAGTTGTTGAAAAGACTCTAAAGAACTTTAGAAAAATAATGTAATTCAGTTACATATTTTCAAGTGCATATTTTCCCGCTTAAGTGGAGATCTAACGAATGACGCATTGTTTCTTTGCAACAGCTAGATTTCTATCTTTTTTGTGCATATAGTAACAGGTACCAGATGAGCATGGAAGAACTCAGGAAGGAGATCGATATGCTGAGGGCAGCCCTGAAGGAGGCCACAGAGGTCAAAGAGGAGGCTGGAAGGGAAGCGGCAGGTGCTACCAGGCCAGTCTACGTGGCTCCAGGGAGGCGCTTAGATGTGTTTTCCGGAAAGCAGACCCGTCCTTCTGACCAGACAGTTCACGACTGGGTTGCAAGCGTGAGAGCCCAGCTGGAGCTAAGGGGTCTCAAGGGCAGAGAGGCAGCTGCTTTTGTGAAAGAATACCTGAAGGGCGATGCACGGAGAGAGGTAAGCGGGAGGGGAGATGAGGTCCGGGACGACCATGAAGCTATATTTGGGGTGCTAACCAAGGTGTTTGGGGATGGCAACAGCCTTCCCCAACTCCAGCAAAAGTTCTACTCATACATGCAGGGGACGTCCCAGGACCTATTGAGCTGCTCTCTTCAGCTGGTAGACCTCTTTGACAGGATGGTTCAGCTGGACCCTACCATTAAGGGCCAGCGGGACCTATCTTTGAAGAGCAGGTTCGCAGAGGCCGTGAGGGATGAGTCTCTAAGGCGCGAGCTACGGCGGCTCAACACAGAAACGTCAAGCCTTTCCTTCTTCGCCCTTCGGGACAGAGCTATGGAATGGCTGGGACCGGCACCTACCAAACCTAAGGAGGCGGCAGTCAGGAGTATTGCTGTCGAGAAAGACATCCTGGACCTTATGAAGAAGCAGGCCGAGCAGATGGAGCGCCAGCAGGTGCAACTCGACCAGCTTAGTTCCCTTCTGACAAGCAGACGACAAACACCTTCAGGGGACGGGAAATGCTATAATTGTGGCGAGAAGGGCCACATTCGGCGCAACTGCCCCAAGCCAGTTCCAGAACGAAGGCCTAGGAGAGAACAGAAACTTGGTGAGTCACCGATTAGACCTTCATCGAGTGCACCAGGTTTAAACGAATAGCTCCCACTGTCAAGAGCCTGACGGTGGGTGAGTCATTCGACGGCTCAGCGCTCTTAAGGAGAGCAGTAGGTGATTGTCCGGAGGTCAACCTCAACCTTGGACCTGCACATTGCGTTAGATGTTTGTTGGACACGGGGGCACAGGTATCAACGGTGACCGAGGCATTTTATAGGAAGCACCTCGGTAGCGAGTTGATGACAGACGTGTCTCGTATCCTTAGCATCAGTGGAGCCCAAGGACTTACGATTCCCTACTGCGGATACGTCGAGCTGACGGTTCGGGTGCTTGGGAGGAGCTTTCACAACATGGGTTTCCTTGTTGTGAGGGACCCTCCTGAAGCAATAGGAGAGAGGAAGAGACAGGTTCCTGGAGTAATAGGCTCAAATGTCCTAAGGGACATGCGGAATGCTCTGCAAGACGAACTTGGAGAGGATTTCCTCAGGAAGATCAAGGGCGAGCGAGATGCTACATGGGTGAGTGTCTTGGCCTTGTATGAGGAAATCTTTGTAGACCCTACGGCCAAGCTCGGCGGACTGGGTAGAGTGGCCGGCATTGCACCAGTATTACTTCAGGGAAGGTCTCTACAGACGGTTCAGGTCTCAGTTAGACCTGCTAGGAAGGGGGAGATGCGCACGGCGATCGTCCAGGAAATCGAAGGAGAACATCTCCAGCCTGGCGTCAAGGTAATATCATCCCTCCTTCATATCACAGATAATGGTTTAATTAATGTCCCTGTAATGAACCTTTCGAGCAGAGACATTTACATTCAGCCTAGGACACCAATCGGGATCGTTCATGATGCTTCGGAAGTCGACCGACAAGAGAGGCCTCAACCAGCCTGGGTCGAGGAGCATCGACAATCTTCATCTCCTGATGTCGAACAGATACTTCGGAGGATGCAGCTGGGAGACATCTCCCTGGAGCAGCAAAGAGCCATGGAGGAGCTCATAGGGAAGTATCTGGACGTCTTCAGCAAAGATGAAGATGACATCGGCCTGTGCAAAGACGTAGACCATAGGATCTACACCACCAATGATGTTCCAGTCAAGGTCCCACATAGGCGGATCCCGCCCCATCATTGGCAGGAGGTAAGGGAATACCTCAAACAGTATCTAGATAAGGGTGTCATCAGAGAGTCGTCCAGCCCCTATGCAGCCCCGGTGGTTTTGGTAAGGAAGAAAGACGGCAAGCTCAGGTTATGCGTTGACTACCGCGCTCTTAATTCCAAGACGCATAAGGATGCATATCCCCTTCCAAGGATTGAAGAAGCATTGGAGGCATTGAGAGGAGCTCGCTTCTTCTGCAGCTTGGACCTTGCCCATGGATTTCCCCAGATCCCAGTAGCTGAGGTAGATATCCAAAAGACAGCTTTTCGCGTTGGTACTGGCGGGTTGTACGAATTCGTAAGAATGCCTTTCGGTTTATGCAACGCACCAGCTACCTTCATGCGGCTAATGGATAAGGGATTTGGCGACCAGAATTTTCAGACAATTCTTACCTACCTTGATGATATCCTTGTGTTTGGACGAGACTTTGACGAAACTCTTCAAAGGCTCGAAATGGTTCTGGGACACCTTCGCAAGATGAACCTCAAGATCAAGGTGGAGAAATGTCACCTCTTCAAGAAGAAACTCAAGTATTTAGGGCATATGGTGGAAGAAGGAGGCATCTCTCCAGATCCAGACAAGATCAGGTCCATCCAGGAGTGGAAGACGCCCAAGACAGAGACAGAACTCCGGTCGTTCCTTGGACTGGCCGGGTATTATCGAAGGTTCGTTCCCCAATTTGCAACAATTGCAACACCTCTTCATGCTCTCGTTGGAGGAGCACAACAACAGAAGAAGAGTAAGAGCAAGGGCAAGAAAGGGAAAGTACCCAGTGATAGGAGAGTGGTTCATGGTTTGTCGGTAGCAGAGACCTGGGACGAGAGCTGTGACAAGGCGTTTCAGGAACTGAAGGACCAGTTGACGTCTGCACCCTTGTTAGGTCACCCTGACTTCACTAGACCACTCATCCTGGAGACTGACGCAAGCTTTTATGGACTTGGAGCAGTACTCTCACAGAAGCAAGATGGCCGCTTAGTCGTTCTCGGATACGCTAGCAGAGGACTTCGACCCCACGAGAAGAACATGAATAACTACAGTAGTATGAAGCTGGAGCTCCTTGCGCTCTATTGGGCGATCACCGAGAAGTTCCGGGACATTCTACTTGGGGCCGAGTTTGTTGTTTTTACGGACAACAATCCTCTCAGCTATTTGCAGACGACGGCTAAGCTGGGAGCAACAGAGATGAGGTGGCAGGCGGACCTTGCTCAATTCAACTTTGAGATCAAGTTCAGATCTGGTCGGCTGAACACTAATGCAGACGCCTTGAGCAGGAAAATGGACCATGGAATTGAGCAAGGGAGACTCGAAGAAGTTGGAGTAAGTCTCCAAAGCCATCCTTCGTCTTTGTCGACGCCAGTGCCATCATCACTTGCGGTGAGAGTAGAGGAAGTATCAGAGATAACGGACACAGACACCAGCAAGGGAGGGACAGCTTCGTCTACCCTTCCGACCTTGCCCAGAGAAGAGTTGGCAGCTCTGCAAAGGAACGACCCAGTCATCGGAAAAGCGCTACCCTACAAGAAGGAAGATAGTGCCCCGACTCCGAGGCAGATGGCTAAGGAAGACCAGCCAGTTCGGAAACTGTTGCGACAGTGGGGACGTCTCCTTTTTGTAGACGGTATTCTACACCGCAGGGTTACGCTAAGGGGGCAACCTGTCAATCAACTGCTGGTACCTGAAGCCTTGAAAAGCAAAATCCTACGTGCACTCCATGACGAAGTTGGCCACCAAGCTTCGGAAAAGACCACCAGATTAGCAGTCGAACGCTTCTACTGGCCAGGAATGGAAGCAGAGATTCGCACGCACTGCGAAAGCTGCCAGCGATGCTTGCTTTCCAAGGCAGGGAGGAAGTTACATCCACAAATGGGATCACTCATTGCAAGGGAGCCCCTGGAAGTACTAGCGATAGATTTTACCGTGTTAGAGCCCAGCTCTAACAGGGTTGAGAATGTCCTAGTACTGACGGACGTCTTCACTAAATTCACTCAAGCCATACCTACCAGAGACCAGCGGGCAACTACGGTCGCAAAGGTACTTGTTAACAACTGGTTTGTGAGATTTGGAGTACCTAAGCGCCTGCACAGCGACCAAGGTCGAAACTTCGAGAGTGGTCTAGTCAAAGAGCTTTGCAGAGTGTATGGAGTGAAGAAGACGAGGACGACTCCCTACCATCCAGAGGGCAACGCACAGTGCGAACGCTTCAATCGCACGATGCATGACCGGCTGCGTACTCTTCCGCCGGAGAAGAAGAGAAGATGGCCTGAACATCTGCCTGAGTTGGTGTACGCCTACAACTGTACACCGCATTCTTCAACGGGTTATTCGCCATATTATCTTTTCTTCGGCAGAGAGCCGGTGCTGCCCATTGACCGCCAGCTAGGACTTCAACACTCTGAATCCGATTCAGAGTGGTTGGAGGCTCATCATAGACGCCTGAGGACTGCCTTCGACCTGGCAAGACAGATGACAGAGAAGGAAGCACTGAGAAGACGGGAGAGGGTCAATCGCACCGCTGAGGACACAAGCCTTGTCATTGGAGCACGAGTGTTCACACGGAATCGTGTCCTTGGACGGAACAAGATTCAGGATGTTTGGTGCGACACTCCGTTCAAGGTGGTAGCCCTCTCGTCCGAAATTGTAGCTGACATTTCCAAATCTCATTTGTTGTTCATGCAAATGATGTCTATTTCTAACCCAACTCACTAAATTATTAAACGATTATTTTCGTATTTGTTTGTTTAAATCATTTTGAATCTTTGAATTGTCCAAAGTTGTCAGAGACGACAACATCAAGTAGGGGAGAATGTGACAGTCTGGAATTTCATTATGATATTATTCATAATGATCTTAATAAGTTTGTTATAATATTGTTTACTTTTAATTATTAATCAACACTGTGCAGTTTTTGAGCAGTGATCCTCAGAAAACCCATTAGTCACTTTCTGGGTCCCGCATAATAGAGCTCTTGTACACGTGGTAAATCTTATCTCTAAAGAATGTTGTGGTTACCTCCAGAGGGTGGGAGAGTGAAGGCTACCGCCCATCTGGATGAGGAAGGGTAAAATCCACTCATTCCATCTCATACCACCTTTGAGACAACACCCATGCTATAGAGAAGAGAACTTGTACGATATTTGACTTTCCATGACAAATTCCATCCAATAGGGGGGGGGGGGGGTTATCCTTTCTCGGGTTTATTTTCGAGAATAAAGTATGACATCAAAACAACCTGGACCACAATATTGAGTCTTCATTTATCTCATTATCTGTGTTACAGATTTATAGAGTGAGATTTATGTAGGGCTAATATTATTATATACTATTGTGTAATCTTGATTATATCTTATATTCATTATACACATTATTTATTTGATTAAAAACTATGCTACATTACTACGGATATCATTCTTTCTTGATTATTTGTGTGGCTCTGAAAAGGGCCGTTATATGTCCAAGTAGAGCAGTATATAACCTGTCTACTTGGAGGTAGTGTATTTCGTCACTGCCTTGGTACCCTCGCTCACAGCGTGCTTTGCCAGCTCTCCGGGGAGAATGAGGCGGACGGCGGTCTGAATCTCGCGACTGTTGATGGTTGACTTTTTTGTTGTACTGAGCGAAGCGGGAAGATTCGCCGGCAATTCGCTCGAAGATGTCGTTGACGAAGCTGTTCATGATGGCCATGGCCCGACTGGAGATGCCGGTATCTGGATGAACCTGCTTGAGGACTTTGTAGATGTAGATTCCATAACTCTCCTTCCTTTTCCTGTTCCTCTTCTTGCCACCGCTGGGCCGAGGTGCCTTGACTGCCTTGCTGGAGCCTTTCTTAGCAACTTGAGCTGTTGGAGCCATGATGAATTGAGGTTTTCTGGTCTGTAAAGATTTGCCGCAGGCTTCTTGGGCTTGGCAGTCTTGGGTTTCTTTGCGGCTGCCTTCTTGGGCGTCTTCTTTGGTGTTGATTTCTTGGCTGCTGGCTTTTTGGGTGCCTTCTTTGGAGTCTTCTTCTTCTTCTCTTTCTTCTCAGTCGTTTTCTTTTCTGGCTTCTTCGCTTTCTTGGGGGCTGCCTTGACTTTCTTTACGGCGGCTGCCTTCTGCAGTTTCTCCTTCTTCGCTGCAGCCTTTTCCTTGGCCTTCTCACGCTGTGCTAGCAGTTTTTGCCTTCTCCTTCTCCTTCTTGGCCTTCTCCGACGCCTGTGCCTTGGCCGCCTGCACATTCAGCTTGAAAGAACCCGAAGTTCCTTTCCCCTTCGTCTGCACTAGTTTTCCTTTCTCCACGCCAGACTTTAGGGCCCGCTTGATGAATAGCAGCTGTCGGTCCATCTGCACATCGAAATTGGTAGCGATATACTTCTTTATTGCTTGCAGCGAAGAGCCATTGCGGTCCTTCAACTCGGTGATTGCTGTAGCAACCATCTCGGCAGCCGGTGGGTGGGCGGCCGGCTTCTTAGTAGTCACCTTCTTAGAGCTATTCTTCTCAGCCATCTTGATATACGGTGCGTCGGGAGGTTAACAAAACGAATAACCATCGGCTCGGCAACGCCATCAACATAAAGGCATTGTTGCGTACGTGGGAGGAGACAATCCCGGGTCGTCCGCCCCCATGACTGCATGCCAGTTTGTGTTTGTTTTAAGAAACTTTTCTCCCTTCTTTTCCATCCATACATGCTCTTATTCCACCACCCCCTTCTCTTTCTTCTCTTTCTCCGTCTTCTTCTCATCCTTCTTCTTCTTAATCCTCTCCTACCACGTATAATGTACACAATCATTATATGAATTTGAAGAAAAAAATGAGATCAAATGGCGATAACACCATCAACCCCTGATCGTCAACCCTCTTGAAACACAGTCACATTCATGGGAAATTGCATATTAATAGTTTCCCATTAAAATGCCGACTAAAAAGATAATGTTTTGCTCTGCATGGTCACCCTAATATCCGTACTAGTAACTGTAAATATATTTTTGATTAAACACCTTTCTTTTTCTTTTACTGCTCTATACACTTTTTTGTTCATAACATCTAAGGATGTATATCTTTATTTAATATATATCAATCATTATATATAACAACTGTTAAGGCTTAGTTCATCCCAAGTGTAGCGTTTTAAACTAAGAGAGAGAGAGAGAGAGAGAGAGACAGAGAGAGAGAAAGAGAGAGAGAGAGAAAGAGAGTGGGGATAGGGGGATTCATAAATGAAACAATTCTTTCGTGAGTAATTGGTGGCCCTGATAAGGGCCATTGAGGTTTCAAGATTGCCGGGAGCAAACTCTAGCTTGATTTAGCGGTTTTCTTGGGGAGCAGCACGGCTTGGATGTTGGGCAGAACACCACCTTGAGCGATCGTCACCCCACCCAAAAGCTTGTTGAGTTCTTCATCATTACGCACAGCGAGTTGAAGGTGGCGTGGGATGATCCTAGATTTCTTGTTGTCGCGGGCAGCGTTGCCTGCGAGTTCCAAGATTTCGGCAGTGAGGTACTCTAGGACGGCAGCCATGTAGACAGGAGCTCCACCGCCGACCCTCTTTGCATAGTTGCCCTTTCGGAGAAACCGATGAACACGTCCTACTGGAAACTGGAGCCCTGCACGGAATGAGCGCGTCTTTGCCTTGGTGCGGGCCTTTCCACTCTTTCCTCTGCCAGACATGTTGTTTTTGATGAGTCTAGTATAAATCGGAAGCGAAGTTCAGAACGTAACAATGTTCGATGACTTGAATGGATGCCCAGCAGCGTTTTGGTGGCTATTTATACCTGGTGTTAGGATCGCAGTGACCGTCGGGGGCATTGTGACTATTGTCCAATCAGCGGGTAGCTGACCGGATCTCCTTAAACTTGTTTCGCATCATTAGTGAATGGTGCCATCTCGCGGCGACTTATCCGTTTTCTCCACTAGTACTCAATCAGATTGTATAGGGTTTCCTGAATTAAAAAGAAACACAGATCAATTCAAATGGATTGGACGACAACGCCTAACAAATGTGATAAAACTGTAGCCCATTCCAAGTACACTGCCCCTATTTCCAATAGTGTCAGGTTCTATGTTATATTTCAGAGATCAATCAATCGCCTAAAAAACTCTCTTTCTGGGGATATATGTTTCATCACAATTCACCCTAACTTTGTTTCATAATGTGGCATACGTATTAAACGTTCATAGATTTCATAGGTTTATATTTGAATATTCCTTGCATGTTTAATACCTAACACCTATTGTGTTCTACATTTTTATCATATCGTGTATCTAAATTATGTTCTACATTTTTATCATATCGTTCATCTAAATTATGATCTACAAATCTTTGTTTTTTCTTCTTATAATAGCGTCGATTGTCATGCATCGTGTTCATTTTAGAAATCAATGAGTAGGCCTTTGACCAAATGGAACCTTTAACTATAACACAAACTGTGTGTTAGTGACATATTGATACTCTTTATCATTTAGCTTTTTCAAAGCTATGATCATTCTTTGTTCATTTTTAATGCATGTATAAAGCATTCCCCCCTCAAAAAATCGGTATGCCTGTGCAAAAAAAAAGAGTTCAAGTTTATGTGCTCGTTAAGTCATCTTCGATATTAGACATGCAAAGGCTCATACACACAAACACACACACGCACACACACACAAGCTACATTAATTTTAAAAATAACGTCAGACAAGGTGGAACAATTCATATTATTTTTGCTAATGCGATTTGAAAAAATGCAGTGTGGATTTATAGAGTCAAAGGTACAATTCTACCTGGGCGCAAACATTACTCATTCCTATATATATACAGTTCGATACTGTGCCCTCACTATAACCCAGGTGATAAAGAAAAACAGTGCGTTACTGATGCAATTTTGTAATGTAGATGGCAGATTAGTAGTTAATGAGGTAGTAGTTTAGTCCACTCAAAAATCAAGTTTATGTTATAATCGAGGGTGTTCAAATACGTCCAGTATCTCTTTAAAGCTCTTTTTCTTTTAAATATAGTAGGCCTTTGACCAAATGAAATCCTTAACTATAAAACAAGCTATGTGTTGGTGATTAATTGTTTCTCTTCATCTCACGGCTCTTTCAAAACTATGATCAGTCTTCATTCATTTTTTCATGCATGCAGGAAGCATTCCACCGATCCCCCCCCCCCCCCCAATAAAAAAATCGGTATGTCAGTGCCAAAAATAAAAAAATTGATTAATAAATTAATAAATTAACATTAAAAAACAATAGATTTGCCTACATAGATGCGCATGCACTCTTTTATTAATTCATATTTTCATTGCTTATGCGATTGAAAAAGGTGAAGTCTAGATGAAGACAACCCAGCAGACCATTGTTTTAGCAGGCCGCAAACATTACTCAATCCTACAGTTCGATACTATGCCATCACTATATTAATGTTGCAACTTTGTAACATAGATTACAGGTTATATACTCTGGTCCAGTACTACTGCGCTACTTCGGATAATATGTTTCAGCATCTTACTGTGACTGTTTTGGTATCGGGTGATTGGAAGCCATATCGATAATTTTTTTTTAGAATAGTCGATCGCGTTTTCATTTACAACATAACAACGCATGAACCTGTTTGGTAACATCGACACGAACTCTGACGTATACAGTGCATGCACAAACCGTATATGAGTAAGAGGGATGGTATTTAAGTATTTTGTTTAATTCACAAATCATCTAATGCAACGGTACACCATACATAACGTTGGTCGCGAAGTTACAAAGATATTCAACTAGTTAATTCTAAGCATTTCAGAATGCATGAAACACAGAAGGTTTTCTGAGAATCAACTGATCGAGTGTTTACGTCTACTGGTTATCAAGATGTTACCCCGTCATCCAATACTCGTCTATTTCCTCATATCTGCATTCTCCTTTTATGTTGCTTTCTGCGATACAAGTGAGTATCATTCTTCTGTTTGTGAAAAAACATTCAAATCAGTGTTATTGCCTGGGTATGAATGTTTGTACAAAATTAAATTTCTAGTTACGTTAGTGTTAATACAAGGCCTTGTTTGTTATTCTATTGAATAATGGTAATGGTAATAACAATAGTAATGATGATGATAATAATAATCATAATAAAAATAATAATAACAATAATAGTAAAAATGATGATGATAATAACGATAATAATAATAGCAATGCAGAGGTGCCGTGGTTTGTGGATCTATATCACCGGACTGTACATCACATGGTTCACGGTTCGAGTTCCGCCGCGGCATTAATATCCTTTGGCAAGAAAATAATCTACAATTGCCCCTCTCCATTCATGTGAAATAAATGGGTACCCTGAAGGAAGACATTCGTTGGAGACTTTAGCGCCTTAAAATGGCAGCTCATCTTCAGCCGGGGTAATAATGTGATACGTAATGTGTATTAAGCGCAGTATAGTATATTCATAGAGCAGCTGCGCTATACAAATGGACATGTTATATTATCATTATTCTAATTTTTATTATTACTATATATTATCATGAGAAATACTAATAGTAATAATCATTAAAATTATAATAATATAATCATAAGAAGAATAAGAAGAAGGATGAGATTTTTATCCAAATCCACTTGAAATCAAAACATAAAAACATGTGCATTATAAAAAAAAAAACGACAAAATTCATAGAATATACAAAAATGAATGAGAACAATTAATCATAATTATGCCGAATCAAACAGATACGTTTTAATGTTAAGTTTTAAACATTTCAACTGATCCGCTAGTACGAATGTCTAGAGGAAAAGCATTCTACAGCGAAGGCCCTACATGAGCAAAGGTTTATACCCCATTTGGTATTGAGCTTAGGAACAACACGTACTCCAAAGTTTTGAGAACGTAAAGGTATAGACGCTATCTACTGATTTATTAAAGTAGACTTGTTCTGTGTATCAGAGCACACAAATAAATAAAATCAAAATGATATTGCAAACTATGCATTAAGTTATAGGCAACCAAAGCAGTGGTTGTGAATTAGCGTGATGTGACTTTGTTTGTTGCAGAGGGTCACTCTACGAGCAACGGCATTTTAAAGTTTTGTAACCGTACTAGCTGATATTAAATGATTAATTAATCAATTTTACCAACTGCCAAAAAAATGCTGTATGTGGTCCAAGGGAAAATATGCATAATGCATGTACATGGTAGGGTATTAATTTGATTTTGAAGATGTTCAAATCGTTGACAGGAAATGCGAATGTAATGGTTCGAGCTCCGTTGCCACAACAATGTACTTAGGTAATACATGTAGCAACAATTATTGTCACTCTCCACCCGGGTGTAGTAAATTGATCACCTAGAGGCGTATTTGTAGGTCATCTTTTGCGTGGACACAATCCACGGTAACCATGGTATGATCATCCAAATACAATATGTAATTGACAGAAGCTCCTCTTTCTCCCAGTCAGCTTTTTCGCGTCTGTACAATGATATTTTTTATTTATTTGTTCACTCCAACTCTAAGTTAAATCCTTAAAACTCAATATATGTGAAGGG